AAAAAAAAAAAAAAAAAAAAAAAAAAAAAAAAAAAAAAAAAAAAAAAAAAAAAAAAAAAAAAAAAACTCCTTTAAAGAAATTAATATATTGTATTGTTTAGAAAAATAAAAATCATATTATAAATATAAGAAATTTAATTTTAATATTGATAAAATAGGGGAAAAAATTGAAACTTACATCAAGGAAGGAAGGTTCGAAGGTTAAAGAGTGGGCGGGAGAGATGGCGGAGAGAAGAGCGGAGACACTGTGGAGCTTGGTATTGGAAAAATGTTGACAAAGCAAACCAAGAGAGGCTTGATTCAGAGACTTTAAATCCCCCAAATTAACTTCATCCGTTACAGCATTATAGATCCAAACCAGGGTTTTCAAATTGGGCGCCACGATCTTAACCCAGCTCGAGCCATGCGCGTCAAAGCAGCTACAAATCCGCACCCTCTCCAATTTCCCCCCCAAAACGTCCAGCCCCTGCAGCTGGAAGCACCCTTCCAGGCTGAAATCCTGCAGCACCGGGCACTGAACTCGGAGATTCATTAGCCCGGAGCAGCTCTCTAGATTCAATTTCTTCAAAAGGGGGAAAGAGGAGTCGGTGAATAGGTCCACCAAGGAGGGGCGGTCTAGAATCATGAGAGCCAGAGAGAGGGAACTCAGCAGCCGGAAGCCAGAGCTCATGATGGACGACGGCGGCAATCGGAACCCGGGGTAGATGGAACGCAGGCTGAAGACCCTCAAGGAATCACTGGCGATTATGCCACGTGGGAAATTGAAGTAATCGTTGGTGGAGACTTGGATGTGGAGGTGTTGGATTTTGTGGCGGACGGCGATGCGGAACAGAGCGTTGAGGCGGGAGAAACTCAGAGTGGCGGAGAAGCGGAGGAGACGGACGTTGGAGTGTTTGTGGTCGCGGGCGTTGAGGATTCCGGCGATGATGTCGGCTGGGTTTGAATTGGAATTGGAATTGAAGATGGAATTGGAGAAGTCGAGGTCCGGTAAGGTGAACCACAGAGAGCGCCAGCGGGAGGAGAGAGTGGCGGATTGGGCGACGGTTTTGATGGGCAATAAGGTGAGAATGTGGTGGAGGACGGCGTCGGGGAGGTGGCTGATGTAGTCGACGCCGGTTTGGTTGTGGGAATTGGAGAGCCGTCGTCTACGGGCGGATCTGGTCTCCATTATCGGAAAGAGAGAGAAAGAAAGAGAGAGATTTGTTGTTAAGAGAGGGAGAGAGTGAGATTTGTAGGGTTTGAACTTTTCAAAGGCTTTGTGAATCTCAGTGAAATAAGGATGGCGTTTCAGTTTGTTTCATTAATCCTTATTTTCTTTTTCTAAAATATTATTTCAAAAAAAAAAAAAAATCAAATAACCATTAACAAAATATCATTAATGTGAATCTAATATTTTATAACAACATTTTTAAATTTATTTAAATTTTCAAATTCTTTATTTCAATAGCCAATATTTTATTTCAAAAATACATTTGAACTTTCAATACACAAAACTTGGTTAAAAAAATACTTTATTATTAGCATGAGATGATATCATAGGATTTCGATTCTATTCTGTTAGACCCTTTGGAATTGGAGTAATGATTACAGGAACAATCGGGACATTCGTATTTCATAGTCAAAAGTGAAATTTTTAGATTTGTGAAAGACGAACAACTGCGAAGGTTTTTCTAGAATGTTTTCATTAATGAAGAACAGAAGTGAGGGGTTCAAAGACAATCAAATACCGTCTTAGTCTCAACCATTTTTACTATTTAACTTTTTATTAGGTTATATTTGTAAGCATTGAGTAGCATTTGAAGGCCTACATTGTTTATAATTGATTTAAATGAATGAATCAAAGATATTAATGATTTGGGCCAAGTTATGATAATAACATATTAACATCCTAGAGGTTGTAGTCAAAAGCACATGATACTATGGTCCTACAATAATCTAAAAAAATTCCTCGATTAATAATTTGTATTTTTTTTCCCTTTAATTTGAATTGAATTTAAGTATGACTTAAAAGGTATCCGAAGTTTTAGATTGGATATGGGCTTCGCCTATTAATAATTATGGGGACAAGATAATGCAAAGTTTTGATTATGCAATGGATATGTTCTCAAGTTTTATTTCTGTTACGTTCTAATCACATCGCGATCTCATATGAAAATATATGCATACATGTATGTGTGTGTATGTATATTTATATATAATAAAAGGGTTAGTTATAAGTTGGATTGTATTTCAATTTGGTTTGTGGGTAAGGTTTATTGAAAATGCATAAGTAAAATTGAATAGTTTTAAGCGGTCTTCGCTTAGAAGCAATTATATATTGAGTGACCTTCAAGACATTTTTCTAAGAAGCGAGCAAGTGAGAAAAAGAACTTGTGTTAGTTAGTAAAGATAGTCTTCACTCGTAAAAGTAATTGAAGATAAATAGGTAGCTTAAACATGTTATAGAAGATGTAGAGGAATGTCGGGTCATAAAATGTCCAATTCAAAATTCAAATTCTAGTATGAATCTTGGACATGAGAGAGTACAAATGATATCAAAGCAAGACTTCTCCTTGTGGGTTAGGGACGAATCAAGACAAAAGCTAATAGACATATGATGCTCGAGTAACTAAATGGTACATGAATGGGCCTAAACCTGTGAAATCCTATATCAGTTGGAGAGGGGAATGAAACATTTCTTATAAGGGTGTAGAGACCTCTCCCTAATAGATGCATTTTAAAATCGTAAGGATGGTAACGATACATAACTAATCAAAGGCGAACAATATCTGGTATTAGTAAGTTTGAGCTGTTACAAATGGTATCAAAGCTAAACATCGAATGATGTGTCAACAAAGACGTTGGGCCTCCAAAGGAGAGTGGATTATGAAATCCAACGTCGGTTGAAAAAAAGGAAATAAACATTCCTTATTAATTAAGGGTCTAGCAGACCTAACACCAAAAACACAGTCTATGCCACATTGACCAAAGTAATTAATTATCTACGATTTTACAACTACGAATCAATACCACAGAAGTAGGAGAAAAAAGAGCAGAAAAAAGAAGAAAAGGCTAATTATTTGACAGGGTCTGATTTTCTAGTAACCCTTATGTAGCAAAACACAACAGCAAAAACAGCAGTAGCCAGGCCGCCGAGCAGCACCCCGCCGCCGGCCATGGACGTGTGAAGATGATGCTTTCCCAGCCTTCTGATTTCAGGACCTGCAGCCACGCCCGGCTGATTCTCCATCTCCACTTCCTTTCCAATTTCCCCAAAAAACGGCATCGCAGTGGCAACTGTTGGTGCCTCGGCGGTGCTCGCAGCCGTGAGCTGACTCAACCACATCCCGACAAGAACCAGACACAGCAAACCATGTCGAACCACAGCCATATTTAGTTGAGCTTGTGGAGATTTATGTGAGAAGGAAACAGCCAAGGGGTTATATAGAGAGAGAAATTGATAGCTAAACCTGAATTTTATTGTTATTCTTTATAAATAGGGTTCGCTTTTTATTTATTAGGTTACATTATCAACTCTCTTAGTTAAAGTTTAGCTTGTTTAATAGTAAAAATTATGATAAATAATTTCTTTTTAGCGCGTATTATAATAAATTCTCAAGAGTCAAAGGGTAGTTGCCAACTATAAATAGTCAGACATTTATGTAACCTTCAAGCATGGTACAGAAACAGCTCAAACTGAGACCAAGTCAAACCTTCCTTGAATATTTACCCAACTCTAATAGTTATCAAACGGGGTCTAATTATCGAATCCTTAGCCGACTTGAAATGGTGCCCAAGGTTGCGGTTGAACCAGGCCGATCGTCGTATTAACTACGAACCCCACGCTTGTCTGGCTTCTTGGATGCAATGCATATCAGCCAACGGTTGCCATGATCCGAGATATCGTTCGTAGATGAATTTCTTACACTAATTCTGCAGACCCACACCTCCTACAGCCCTAAACCAAAAGCATCACTTTCAGATCCAGCAAACATCTAATATGGTGGCACCAGGTATCACAGAGCTCAATCTACCCTCAGATAAAACCAAATGGTTCAATTAGAAAAGTCTAGATTTCAAATTTTCTACTTGTACTTGCACACAGATGGGCAATTCATAAGCTTTACAATGGTTAAAGGTCAAAGTTGGCATGTAATCCTACATCAGTTAGAGAGGGGAGCTAAACATTTCTTATAAGGGGTGGAAACCTCTCCCTAGAAGACGCATTTTAAAACTATGAGGCTGATGGCGATACGTAATGAACCAAAGTGGACAATATCATTAGCGGTTGGATTGAGCTATTACAGCTGGCTAGAAATCCTCAACTACTGCACAATCCTCAGAGTGATGAACTCGGACTAAATGAAGTTGACCCTAAGGAAGAGATTGAGGACCTCTTGATTTCAGGAGAATCCTTTGTTGATGATTCTTTTTGTGTTTGATGAGATATTGGGAAAATTGAGGCGAGTTAGAGTTCCATATATGGCCCTAGCTGCTTCATCATAAGCAAGAGCGGCATCAATGGCAGATGGGAATGCACCTAACCAGAGTCGACTTCCCCTATTCGGTGCTCGAATTTCGCAACCCACTTCCCCCATGTCCTTTGCCTAACTCCTCTGTAATTACATCTCAAATTCTCTGACCCTCCCTTACCTTTCATTGCACTTAAGTTTTCTAATCCTCTGTAATTACCTTTCATCTCAAATCCTCTGTAACTCCTCTGTAAGTTTTCTAATTTAGGCAGCCAAGAAATGTTTGCATTGCACTTAACAAATCAGAAAGGCCACAAAAAACCTGTCATCATTAAAAGAGGATTTTAATTTCCAAACTATAAACAATCAGATGCACAAAGTAAAATCTGTAAACAGAGAATTCTCTAAACCATAGGTGCGTGGAAGAGCCTTAAGCTCACCACTAGCAAATATTATCTGCCTTAACCCGTCACGTATCCCCGCCAGTCTCATGATTTTAAGACGCATCTGCTAGGGAGAGGTTTCTACACCCTTTTAAGAAATGTTTCATTCCCCTCTCTAACCAATATGGGATCTCACAATCCACCTTCATTGGGACCCAGCGTCCTCGCTAGCACATTGCCCGGTGTCTAGCTCTGATACCATTTGTAACAACCCAAGTGAACTGCAGAGCACTAGTGTGTATGTGATACAAGTGAACGGGAACATATATGAAAAAGCTCTCATGAAGTTTCATTGTTTGTTCCATCGTCAAAAGAATATGTGTTTCTACGATCGCCCAAGAACACGCACTCATTCTTAGGCTAAGGTACGATTATAAGCTCAATATATTCCAGTGTCATTCATAAAATAACTCAAATTTCAAATAATTCACTTCAACTACTCATGCTATGATGTTCCAACGAATTTTAACCATTCAGTGCCCAATTTGAAGAAAGGGCATGGCTGCCACCCAAATGCTCATTGAAAATATAACACATATCATCAAGTGGTGATTCCTAAGTTCAATTCTGTATACTGCAACTTCAGCTCTTTACTCTATAATTTGTTCTCAAGGTATGTCTACGTAGAAGAGACCAAAAACAGCGTGCTGTGAGTCTATGCCAGAAAACAAGCTGATCGCAGTCCCAGCTATAATTTCTCGAAGCCAAGCCTCTCAATCAAGTGGAAATTGGCGTTGACGCCCAGGATATAGGACATGTTCATCAAGTCAATCAAGTTTACAAACTAATTAAAGAAAACACACACCATTCAATCAGGTTCTTCTTCATCTAAATAAGTTGAATCCGTGCATTTGACTTGTAAGGAAATGCAAAAATAGCGCGAAACTGCCGGGAAGCGAAGATTCTAAATCTTAGCTTCCCGACACAAAAATGCATACACCTCAAACTATACCAGTCGCTTCATTTCGCACAACAAAAGTCAACAGGAAAATCCCCTGTTGTCATGCTAGACAGAATTTGAATTCCTCTATTTTCGGGCTCTTATCTTATCTAGAAAAGCGCGAAAAAAAATACCTCCATTTCTGCGGGGAAGAGAAGTCCCTAAATTCGCGACGTCGAACAAAGAACGGACATTCCGATTCTAGAGAGCCCATGGACCAAGACGATCGCGTTGACGACAACAAAGCGGACGAACGGGGAAGAACCCTAGGCCCCAAATCACCACACCTCGATTTTAATTAAACAAATTATATTCACACATTTATTCTATGGGCCGAATAACCCAAGGCCCAATTTTTCAACAATTTTTTTTTATTCTTTTAGAATATATTGTTAATTATTAATGCTTAAACCCAAGATATGATTATTGATTAAATCTTTCATTTTGTTGTTTATAAAGTTTAAAAGGTTGAACTGTTTATAATTAGTAATTAACGATGATTGAGTTATTAATAATGTGCTATCAATCATGATCATAATTAAACACCAATTTCAAAATCCCATGATCATAATTAGAACAAGCGAGAGAATCAATTTAATTAATCAGACTAGACAATGGATTTTGGCCATCATGAAATTTCGAAAACAAAAACATGGAGCCCATGTTTCTTTCTTCTTCTTCTTCTTCTTCTTCTTTGTACAGTGAACAACAATCCATTTCCATGGCGAAAATGCAGAAGCTCAATTCTCATCAGTAATGGCGGTGGGTGTGGTGGACGCACTCAGCAGGGGTAACAGGGAACCGAGCGGAATCCGTACAATAGTCATAAACCATATGCTTAGCCCGAACCCAAACCAGCTGATGACTTTGGTGCAAATTCAGCTCTGATATGGTTGGCTCATCCCACCAATACTTCTTCTCCCCATCGCTGCTGCATTTCCGAGCAACATCACCCGCCGCGGGGGCCTCGCAGCCGTCGATCTCGAAGCCTTTGTACGACGTTACGAATGGAGCATGCGCCCAATTCGTCTTCACCCGACCCCCCTGTGTCGCCCAGTCATCGGCGTTCCATATTGAGCTGTATACGCCCATCGCTTGGTCCTTCGGAAAGGGTATGCCTCTGTGCTCCAAATTAGAATGTACTCTTATTGGGGTTTCATCGACAAGGAACCTGGACAATAAAAACAGAGTAAATGAAAAATTACAAAAAAACAGAGTCGTCCTGCTCTAACAAGAACAGAGTCGTTCATGGCCATTCATTGGAGCTAACGAGGAGTCATTGCTTACATGACATGGCGCCGAGTCCAGAGGATGGAATAGGAGTGGAACTCTTTGGTTGGGTCAAACCAGAGGTTTAATCTCTGCTCTCTGTTGCCAACGCCATTAACGTACACGTTGGTTTGAACAGAGTACGGCTCCCCTGTTGTATTCCCCAGAAACTCGAAGTCGAATTCATTGTGATTCGGGCCGTCTGATGACATCTGTATATCAATACAATATGATCATTACAGCGCAAGAAAAATGATCAACAAGAAACGACGATCACGATCAAGAAACCAAATGTACATAAAATGCGGTGACAGTTCCAGCAGAGTCACCCTCTATGAGTTTCATTTGGATTGTGACCTTCCCGAACATGTACTTGTTCTTCGATGAAAACCCAGCACCTGAACAATTCAACACACGAATTTCTTAGTATAAACCATTGGAAAACGAAGAGCAGGAGTAGATTTTCTGGGTATTTTTCTGGGTACCAGAAGAGTTGTCGAGTCTAAGCTTAAGAAGCTCTCCTTCATAGATGAAATGATCGAAAGCCCAGCTCGGCTGATAGAGCTCGTGAAAATCCCTCGATTCAACGGAACCCACCAAACAAAAACCAAGAAATAAGACAAGGAAACAAGGAAAAGACATAGAAGCAGCCATGGGAGACGATAAGCTATTGATAGTGAAGGTGAAGCTTCTACTCTGCAAACTCTGTAGCGATCTTTACAGAACCATACCCTATTTATAGCCATTTTCTTTTAGCTTCTTACACAAGCCCCAAATTCTCCCACTACCAACTAAAAGACAAAATCGAACATTCCACGTAGCTCAAATATCATGCCACGTTGGATTTAAATTTCCAAGGTGTATTTATTTTTTTAAAAGGAATATAGCCGTTACTATTGGCCTGAACAGCTGGAAGAAGCTTTGGTGAGTGGTAGTGGCGCTTGGTACCGCCTGTCCCCGGTTCTGGAATGTGGGGTCCAATTTAAACCAATGGGATATCGCTACGTGGCTTTATACAGCTGTTTTCTTTATCCATCCAGTTGTCACTGCCACTGGGAATAGCAGTCATAAAGCTATTGGTTCCCTTCCCTTAGCTAAGGCACTTGATTCTTCCTCCATAAAGTCTCATTTTAAAGCCCCACGCGCGACTATATAAATAAACCCACTCGCCCGCTGTGGTCTATAAACCTTTAACGTCACCTATATTATTTTTTATCGGTAAAATTTTTAATTCATTTTTATATAGTTATTTTATAATTTTATAATTTTGTTGAAAAATCCTAATAAATTAATATATTTTTAAAAAACTATTAAAATAAATTTTAATATTAAAATATAGTTTTTAACCATAGTTTAAAAATTATAATTAGAGTTTCAATATATTTATATTAAGTGGAGAATGGGCAGAGACAGAGTGACTGAGGAATATAATCACGTCCTCAGTCCATTTATCTAATTGAAAAAAAAAAATGTTTTCTACTCCATTTTCGATTTGAAATCCCTCCCCATGTCGGGTAGATCTTGTGGGGCCTCGAGTAGATAACAGGGATCCCATATGAGGAAACCCTAAGAGAGTCGCCGACTCCAACTACCATCCATGTACGATCCATACTAGATCTGACTAACTACCCATCCTACTTCCTCTACGTTCTTGACAGCCCATCTTCTTTGTCTCAGTAGAGTCTTGACATGCTTCGGTCTTCTTCCTCATTACTTAGAAAAAGTGAGCCACAGATTCAGATACAAGATATTATCATTATCACCTAGACAATTAAACATCCAATCTATAATCACAGCGATCTAATTGCAAGAGCTAAGCTCTACCAACTGTGCTGAAATTCCCTTCCGAGGGTGAGTAGATCTTGTGGGACCCCGAAGTAGATAAAATGGATATTTCTAACAAAATCTCGTCCAAACGCCACATAAGGCGCGTAGTTTATAGGACAAGAAAATCAAGAGGAGGTGGGACCAGGGTTATATTCTTTTGTTTATACAGTTTTGCATCTTTGTTTTTTGTTTTACTTTGCTGACTGTGGAGCCAGCTGGCAGTTGGTCCCCACCATAAAAATGCCATAATGATATTTAAATCAATTTGATTCTGAGATAAAAATTTATTCTATTTTAAAACCAATAATAAAAGTCAAAATTCTTACTACTTTCTTATAACTTTCAATAAATAATTAAAAATGGTCAATTATTGTATAATTTAATTTTCAAACAATCTACGAATGTCAATGCTAATTAAAATTATTATTTTTTAATTGAAATTAAAAGTGATTTATTTTTACTGTCCGGTTAAAATAAAATATTTTAAATTACTAAAAAAAAAAATATATATATATATATATATATAAAAGTAAAGTGAGGATAAAATTAATGAGGCAGTCACGGAAACCTAGAAAGTTAAAGATTACTCGTCAGTTTTCGAAAGTTACCAACAGTCCAATAAGAAGTAGCCACGTGGGTAAGATATATGGGTAAATTAAAAATTTTATTTGAGAAATAATACGGCGTGCCTTTCTTTTAATTGCACAGGCTGTCGTGGATTGTGATGGTTATTCCTCAGATCCCAAGGCTTCCATCACTTGCACGAAAACAAAATAAATTCAAAAAACTTACAAACAAATTATTCATATTGAAAAACCATTATGCTCAATCATTATAACTTTTTTTTTCTTTTTCAAAAATAATAATTATAACTCTTTTTTCTTTTTCAAAAATAATAATTATAACTTTTTTTTTTCTTTTTCGAAAATAATAATTATAACTCATTTTAGAAATTTTATTACTCAATTTTAGTTAAATATTTAAAAATAAAATAATAGATATTTTACGACTACATTTTACTTTTATTAAAACAAAATTTAAATAAATGATCTAAATAACTCTAATCAATCCAACCTAAAATATTTTATGGTTGAGGTGGATTAGTTACGTTCGATTATTTGAGTTAAAAATTTTATGAGTCTAAAAAATGTCCGAACCCGATTTTTCACGTGGCAGAGACGAGGATGGGGATACAAACGCTTGGATCAGAGCCCGTTGATGAGTATTAATGAGTCGGCCCAGCCCACAATGTTGCATTTTTATCTTGGGGCTATATTCATGGTCTTGTAGTGAAATTTTCAAAGTTAAAAATATTTGTGTTAATGACCCTCAAGTTTGGATAAATTCCATTTGTTCCCAAATATTTTTAAAAAATGTTCCAATGGCAAATATCGTCAACGGCTTCCTCTTTAACGTTTTAAAACGCGTCTACGAGGAAGAGCTTTCCAAACTCTTATAAGAAATGTTTTGTTTCCTTCTGCAATCAATGAGATTTCACAATCCACTCCCTTGGGGCCTAGTGTTCTCACTGGCACACGACCATCTATAACAGCACTAGCCCACTGTTAGCAAATAGTTTTCATTAGGGTTTCCCTTCAAGGGCTTCTCTTCAAAGTTTTAAAACGTATCTATTAAAAAAAAAAAAAAGAGGTTTCGACACTCTTATAAGGAATGTTTCGTTTCCCGAATAGATGTAAAGAATTCCATTATCTCGAAGTGTGAGTGTTAAGAGAGGAAAAGGACTGCACATTTTAGAGGGTTAAAAGATTCAAATCATACCCAAAAAAGATGAGAAAATAAGAAAAAAAAAGCTTTCTTCTTTTTGTTTTTCCAATCTTCTAGCACTGTACACAGCTCAATATTTGAATCTACAATGGAAAAAACAGCGCCTAATCACCATCAACAGTACTCAAATTAACAAACCAAACTATGAACAAAGCCACGGCAAAGATTTCAGCTCACTATGACTACTTGTCACTCTAGATTTCATCACTTTTCCCATTTGAGCTTCAAGTTTTGTACAAACTCGCTCCAATTCCATCACCCTCCATTGAATTCCTTCAATATGTGCTTTCAACTTCTCATCGTCGTCCGGAAAATCAAGCTTTTCGGCATAGAGAACGACTCGGTCGCCCGTTTCAGCTCTATCAGTACTCTTGCCTCCACATTCATGAGTGATGGATTTAGAGTTTTTAGCAGTTTGAAGTAAGCTTTTGAGCGTGACTTGCTCTGAAACAAGAGCTTGTAAGGAAGACATGGATGGAAATCTTGTGTTCTTCGAAAGATTTAAGAATGTTTCCACTGACAGCTTCTCATAGTTCAATGCACAACAAATTTTCACCTTCTCTTCTTCTGTCATTTCCGTATGAACCTATACAACATGATTCAAAGCCTAACTAAACTCCAACGTTGTATTGTATTATCTATTCAAATCAACAAGACAAGCTATATTGGTTCAAGTCATTACCTCTATGTACATATCCATGGCACGGTACATATCGTCGTGGGAGCTTCGAGCATACTCCGGAAGCGCTTTCGCAAGAGATAGAAACTTTGAGGGCTTTAAACAAGGATCAGGAGCTACTTCTGCCATGTACAAATCCATTAATCTAGCTACTCTTCTTAATGCCATTGGACATGTTCTACTGGTTTTTTCATGCAAAAAGGCTTTCACAAATCTTAGAACAAGGTTCACATCATATAGATAATTCATCCCGGATGGCGATGGAAGTAGTAAATTATCTAACGACCCTCGATCCAACCGCGCTCCGATCATCTTCTCTAACTTGTTTCGGATACATTTATCAATGTTCAAACCTAACCCAACTCGTAGAATGCTGAATAGACTCTTGCAGGAAATGGAATTTTGCTCAAGAACAAAAAGCGTCTCGATCACAACCTCAACGATCTTTCGTTTTTCGTCTCTCGTCGCGGTTGAGAACTTCGATTTCTGGTAATATATAAGAAACTTACTAACAACAACTTCATCAAAACTTCGTTTGAGCATGAACTGCACTATCATTTTAACAAAATCAGGAGTCAAAACTAGCAGTTCATCAAACCACCATAACCCATTAGAGAATCCTGTCTTTAAACTCTCAGAACTTTTAGTATCACAAGAAACCCGCAAGGCCCAGCTATCAGGCGAGGAGGTAGAAGGACAAGAACTTGCTTCCACAGCTAAATTCAGCCTTCCAACAAGACAATCCAAGCATTTATCAACCACAACTAAAGGGGTATTACACAAATCTTGACATCGTTTTAAAGCATTCAAAAGCTCAGACCAAGTCCAATCGCTGATATCTTCAAGGAATTTCTCAATTTGTTCCTGTAAATTCTGGGTTCCTGAGATTTCACTGTTCATCTCCATGAATTCTGCTACAGAATACAAAAGAGGGACATTCGAAGGACTCATTTCCAGATTCCCATTGTTGTAGCAGAACTTCAACATTAACTCAAATCCCTCAGCCCCACCAGGAAAGCCCTGGAATATCACCTTCAAATTTCTTAAACTACCCTTTGATCTACCAAATAACGTGCTCAACTTGCCACAGTATGATGCTACAGTTTTCTACAGAAGTAACCCAAAAAAGAAAAATTAAAGCAAAGGGAAGTACAAAGCAGACAAAATAGACCAGAAAAAAACATGCCCAATAATTACTCTAGAGAAAAGTCAAAACAAATAGTGAAGATGAAACGCAAGAACAACAGAATCAATGGGTTAAAGTACAAAAAAAAAAAAAAAAAAAAAAAAAAAAAAAAAAAAAAAAAA